CGCCATGCTGCAAGCCTGGGAGGGAGGAGGAATGCTGGGGAAGAGGCGGGGCCAGGGCGGGGATTTGAGGAGGGAGCCGAATGGGGGAAGGAGAGGGCGGAGCCGGGGCGGGGGGGGGGCCCGAGCGGAAGGGAAAATTTCTTCTTTGTCCAGTGTCCCGACCAAACATTGGTCGGGACGCGGGACAAAGAAGCAAATATCGGGACAGTCCCGATAAAATCGGGACGTCTGGTCACCCTAGAAGTGTGCGGAAGGGCCTGCATCAGCTAATGGCCTACAAAGCCATCCCTTAACAGTGTGTTATAATAATGCATAGAGAGGAGTCTGACATGGATAACTGTGACAAGTTCAGCATCATTCAGGAAAGGTCATCATCTCCTGAACAACTGTAGAAAGAATAGTGGACTAGAGGGCACTGGTGTTGCATGACAATTCATTTTATAACCTGTCTGGTATGTCTAGTATTCAAACGTTTACCCATTGTTTCTCTTGCACTGAAGTGTGTCCTCTTTAAATGCTCTTTCTATTTTCACAGATATTAATTTACATAAAACTCATAATCAAAGAGCTTCCTTCAAAAAAGGTTTGTCCTGGAGGAAATGCTATTTTCAGATTGAAAACTGCAAAGGGGAGTGTGACAGGTTGGATCACAGAAACCCCCTTGGGAGCTGCCACCTGATGTACCAAGACTACCCCTGGTCCTGTTTTCCCTGCCAGCTCAGGACTCCAGCACCCTATCTTGCTGAGCCAGACACTCCCGTCTGCTCCAACACAGACCCAGGGTCTAAATAACTTGCCCCAAAGCTGCAAGTTTACCTGAAAACAGCTCACAGAAGTGTGCTTGCCTTTAGCACTCAGATGCTAAACTCCCAATGGGGTCTAAACCCAAATAAATCTGTTTTACCCTGCATAATGCTTATACAGGGTAAACTCATAAATTGTTCGCCCTCTATAACACTGATAGAGAGATATGCACAGTTGTTTGCTCCCCCAGGTATTAACACATACTCTGAGTTAATTAATAAGGAAAAAGTGATTTTATTAAATGAAGAGAATAGGATTTAAGTGGTTCCAAGTAGTAACAGACAGAACAAAGTAAGTCACCAAGTAAAATAAAATGCACAAATCTATGTGTAATCAAACTAAATACAGATAAGTTCCTCACCAGTTCCAGAATGCTCCCTTTTACAGGCTAATCTCCTTTTAGCCTGGGTCCAGCAATCACTCACACCCCCTGGAGTTACTGTCCTTTGTTCCAGTTCCCTTCAGGTATCCTGGGGGGTGGAGAGGCTCCTTCCTTAGCCAGCTGAAGACAAAATGGAGGGGTCTCCCACAAGTTTAAATAGACTCTCTCTTGTGGGTGGAGACCCCCTCCTATGCAAAGTCCAGCTCCAAGATGGAGTTCTGGAGTCACCTGGGCAAGTCACATGTCCCTGCATGACTCAGTCTTTACAGGACGAAGCCATTGTCCACATGGTATCTTGTATGTCTCCAGGAAGACTTCTTATGTGGATTGGAGCATTCCAAGATGCATTGTTCCCCAAGTGCTTCCTGATCAGGTACTTAACCTTGCAAATTCCTTCCTAAAGAAACTGATCAAATGCCTCACAAAGCTTACTTAGAAACCAAGCAATATACAGCCCATATTCTTAACCTCAAGTAGAAAATGATATATGTGTACTGTGGCAGAGCTCAGACCTTGTCCCCGTGGGTCCTGCGCTTCTAGGCGGTATATGGTAGCCTCAGTGGCTCTCTGTGACCCTCCACGTAGCCCTTCTCTCTCTAGGGCCAGGATTACAGTCTACTGAGCCCTTTTCATCATAAGCCAGCAAGGAGGTTGGTGAGAGAACTCCCACAGTCTCGGTTGTCCCTAGGGCTTGTTTTAGAACAGTTTAGCCTCCTGTCCTGACAGGGGCCTGACTTCCCCTCCCAGGAGGTGTTCCTGTAGTGGTGGGTTGGGGGGAACCCGGGCCCGCCCTCTACTCCGGGTTCCAGCCCAGGGACCCTAATGGTAGCAGCTGTTGGCAGCCAACCACCTTTCACTGCCAGAGTTGTTACATTTCCCTGGGCCACTTCCCCACAGCTCTCCTGCTTCTCCCTTACCTTAGGGCTCCCTTATCAATAACTTGAGGGTGTCTTCATTAACCAGTCCTTCAGCCACACTTCCTCTCCTCTGCTTGACTGGAGTGAGCCCTTTTTATAGTATCAGTGGGGCCTTAATTAGAGTCAGGTGGTCACATTAGCTTAATAGCCTCACCTGACTCTTTGCAGGTTAATTGGAGTCAGATGTTCTCATTAGCCTGGAGCAGCCCCTGCTCTGGTCAGTCAGGGAACAGAAAACTGTTAATCCAGTGGCCAGTATATCTGCCTTCTGCTATTCTGCTGTACCCAACTGGCCTGGGTCTATCACAGTACAGATAGGATGAATAGATATAGTAGACCATTATCTTTACGGAGATATATTACATGGCACAGGCAGCACAAAACATATTCCAGTTATGTCATACATACATTTATAAGCATACACCCCCCATAAAGCTTTATGAGGTACACTGTCACAGGGAGTGTCCAAGATCATGGAGGCTATAGCTTTGTCAATACAGTACTCTACTGTGTGGAGATAAGGGAAGAGATGGTAGTGGCTTGGCGGAGCTTCTATACAGCGCAATATATGGAATACCCTCTGACTCACCAACTAGTGGTATGACCTCTTTCCTTATGCTGTTAAACTAGTACTGTTGAGGTACCCATGAAGGTGGAAAGTTGCATAGCTGATGAAGAGTTGCTGGATGTAGAGTGTGTGTGTGTGTGTGTGAGAATAGGTATGTGGGAGGTGTGTGTGTGTGTGCGCATTTTACAAAATATAGATACTCAAGTTTTCTCTGCCATCACCAAGTGCAGATAAAATTGCATTGACACCTATCCAGCCAGTGAAATCTGCTGAACACATTTCACACGGTTGAGTTGAAGAGTTACCAGTAAGTAACCTTTCTTTCTGCGATACGTCTGTTTCCTACCTCATTAAAAGGCACCAATGTCAATCACACGAAGCTCCAATAGGTGCAATCTATCAAGACTATTCAGTTTCAAGTTCCAACAGGAATAAAATCTCCTGAAAGTATTTGAAGCAAACTGCCCACATTTGCATAGGTCCTTTTTGATAAAATACTCCATTGATGGCATTTGACATGACATTGGTGAAAGAAGTTAAGACAGGGAAACAATTTCAGTGTCACAAAAATAGCTTTAGTTTTCTGTATGACTGGAAAATAGACAGTTTGACGGGAAGATTCCCTGATGAGTGAGGAATCATTGCTAAAGTTAACAGTGAAGTTCCTAAATTCTTGTTTTGCCTGGCAATTTGGCACTGCATATTTTTTGGAATGGTTAGATACACAGGGCGATTTTTTTTTTAATTCTCTGCCTCAATGGCCAAGATAAACAGAGCTATGTTTCTTGAGAATATTAATATTGCTGTAAGTCCCATGCAAGCAGCTGCTGTCAGTAATGAGCACTAGTGGTATGGGTAGGCAATAGAAATAAGGAAAAGTGTGAGTGAATGAAACTAAAAATTTAGTTCGATATCTTTTCCTTTAAATCAGTTTCTCGGACTTTCATATTTGGAAACAAATGTGTAAGCTATATATGTACTGAACTTTAAATGTACACTTATTTATAGTTATTTGTCAAGAATTCTATAGCGTCTCTAGCTGCTTCATCTTGAAAATGAAAGATACTTCATTGTAAATGGTTCTCTGTCTTCGTATGGTCCTTTACAGTCATACAGGCGGTATATCCTACATTAACAGACTAATCAATTAAGTTCAAAGTGCAATAATAGTTTTATTACTATACAGATAATATATTTAGATATCTTCACAATGGGTGTACAGTTCAAGAGTTAAAAGTAACTTTGTTAGCAACACCATTCAAAATGCAAAATTCCCTTCACATCATTTAGCAGTCATCTGTCAAACTTCCCTAGTCCAAAATACCTTCAAAAGGCTGAACTGATGACATTTACTGTTCAGACTTGCGACTTGTTAGATGCAGCCTTTGGAAATCATTAAACAACATCTGCAGAACTGGGGTATCACTTGATATATGACATATGTGTGAGTTTTAGAATTAAATAAGTTTGAAGAAGCATTTCTCAAAATTAAAAAAAACAAAACAAAAACCAAAAAAACGGACTTTTGCCGGAACAGTCAGTACATTGTGAACCATGGTAAGGACAGCAGCTACTCCACCGAGGATGAATTCAATGAATTACCTCTTTGTAAAACCCATCAATACCATGTTTCTTTCCAGGAACTGGGTTTTCATGAAGACCCATTTAGTTTCCCTACAGACAGCAGCTCATTGTGAAAACACTTCTCTTCACATCCACCAGTTTTTGCAATAATGTTGAATGCATGAAAATAGTGGATGATAGTGGAAAACTTACTATGAACTGTGGTGACATCCAAGTTTATAAAGAAGAGTAACATGTTAAAAAGTATTGTTTTTTTTTCTTTTGCTGAATAAATTAAACTGGATTTATCTCCGCACATCTGTCCTGCAACACATCATTTGCTCACAGTGAATGTCAACCTTCCCAAAGTGCCTCCTGCACATGCCATTCATCACATGTAATTTATCTAGCTTTGCATCCTGTAACTAGCACGAAGGGGAACAAATAAATGAGGATAATTGCAGGAGCAAGACATACCTTTCTCTTTTGCTTCTCTCTCTCTCACTTTCTTGGCAGCTGTATCTTTTTAAATGTACAAGTTGAGAGTTGGAGCTAAAGGAGATGAGGAGAGGGAGGGCTGAAGGGAGGTGCTGTACAAATACCTCTTTGTCTGCCCTGGCTCCTGTCTGCGAGTGACAGTCTCTCTTATCCAGCCAGGGACGAGGGGGTGGGCTTCGAGAGCTACCTCTCTCAGCTAACTCCAACCCAGACAAGAAAGAAATGAACAGCTCCTTTCCAGCTGGAAACAACTAGTCCATACAGGATTCAAAGAGAGAAAGCCTCCTCAGGGAGTAAAATACCTGCAGGAAAAAAATACTTCTTGGAAAGTTTTTTTCCCTCTCTGTGATGGTGAAGTATGATTGGAAAAGTGTGTGTGTGTAGAGCAACGGAGTGAGTGAAACTGCCAGGATCATCTGGATTGGTAGGAGAGCATAGTTTGGTGAACGAATGCATTGTCCTAGCATATTTTCTAGTTGCCTTTTTCTCTTGTTTCTTTCATTGTGTCATAAAAATGCCCTCTGATGATGAGGCAGGAAGACCCAGCAATGGAAACCTATGTAATGTTCACATGAAATAGCTTGGGTCATCCTTTGACTTCAGAGTTCTGTTTGTTCTGAAATTGAACTGACTGAGAACTGTGGTAATTATTTTAACTGGATTTCTGGTAATAGATGCACTGCCACACCTTCAGTGTATTGAGTTTGTTACTGGAAAAACATTTAATCACGTTGTAATGGTGAAACCAAGTACTTAGTCAGCCAATATTTCAGAAAAGCATATTGTGGAATAGTGCAATGGTGCCCTTAAAACACTTTAATTGAGGTATTCAGACGAGTATTTAATTTAAATGGAAAGAGGTTTACATACAATTTACGTTATCATCTAATAATAACTAATTTAGGGGATAGATTGTTTAGCTTTAAGTCAAGACTCCTGTATTCTAGTCCCAAATCAGCCACTATGGACATCTCGGCTCTTTTTCGTGGTTTCATCAAATCCTGCCACTGTAATTTCTGTATCCCAGCTGTTTGACACTGACTGGGTGTTGGCTTAGGGTAGATAAGATGGAATTGATGCTTATAGGCCTTCTGATAAAGGTTTCTAAACCACCTTAGCCATTTCATGTTTTAATCTTTGAGCCATTTTAGCTCTATTACTGTTTTTTAGCTTTAGGTGTCAGTGGGTTTTCCTCATCTACTACTAGCCCAGAGGTTGCAACATTTCTTTTCTTTTCTGATGTGGAGCTCACCACAGTGGTCCATGCCGCAAAACTAGATTATTGTAATGCACTCTATTTGAGGCTACCCACGCAGAGCACAGGTAGTGTCAGCAAATACAGCATGCACCAACCTGTCTTTTTTTTAATGCAGTGAGATGTTATGGACCTGACTCTCCCTTACATTGCTATAAATCAACAGGAACACCACTGTAGTAATTGGAGTTATATAGAAATAATACTGTGATGAGAAGAGAATAAGATCTTGTATGTGCACATAATGCCATTGTTGCACACTGATTGCCTAGTCTCTTCTATGTGCAATTGGAGTAATTTTGTTATGAATGGTTTCATTTTGAAAGAGAGCACCTCGTTCTCTGATGTGCTGTCACAAGAAATAAAAATGTACTGCGGTCTTTTTGCTCCATTTCTGGGGTTCAGTTCTCTGGCGCTGGTAGCAGTATGTTCTCAAATGAGGGTCCAAGCTTCTGGAACATGCTCCCACCAACAATCTATCAGAGCCTAGGTGTGATGAATCATGAGGAACCTGTTTGACCAAGTCTTTGGTGGACTGTTAATTTATTTTACAAATAAGGTGTGGGTTGCTGTGATGGTTCTCAGGGCACCAAGGACTGTATCACCTTGTTACCCCCTGCATCCAGCACAAGGTTGTTTTTTCTTGTTGTAGCTGGGTGTCAGCTCCATCAGTCTTTCAAGCACTCTCCTCTGGGCTATGCCAGCCCTAACTTTGCCTTGCACGTTAACACTAGGTGCACCCCAGTCTCTGACCCCCCTTGAATTGTTTCCCTTGATATCCACCCCGACATTGGGTATTCACAGAAATTCCAAATCCTCTGCACTCAAAGGTGCAGGGTAGCTCTGTTAATCAGTTTTACACTAAACCACTGGTCCTGTAAACCACTGAGCACTTATGATAAATCAAAGTAGGCCTGTTTAAGAAAGAATCAATAAAGATGTAACTAGAAACAAGAGAGCGCGATGGAAACAAATGGTTATAATATACAACAAAATCCTAAAACGCAAACCTGAGTCTATGTTCATCAACAGTTACCTTTTCTATCCAATAAAGTAGACCCCTGCCCCAAAGTTCAGTCTGTTGCAGAGCTGGCTGGTTTCTTATGAACCAGGATCCAAACTCTACAAGGGGTTTTCCTCAATGAATGGATACAGAGTGCTTCTCCCTCCCCTGTGATATACTGAAAACAGCCTTTTGTTTCTGTTCTCTGACAGGGCAACCCCCCATCTGTTACCGGAAGATTTGTATTCAATTATATTGAACCAATTATATTACCCAACTACACTGCCTTTAGTTTAAAACCTTAACCTTTCATTTATCTAAACCAGTAACCAAGGTTGTGACCTTGGAATTTCCAGGATATTACCAGCATGCTTATCTCTGACCCAGAGCAAGCTAGTCTTGCTGATCCTTGAAATGACACGGATACAGCTCTCTGATCAAGAATAGGCACACAAGCAGTAATTTTCGAAATCAAAAATACTATTTATTTAGAAATGAGTGGTTACAATAAAAGAATAGAGATAGATATAAGGATAAGCAGCGTGGCAATGAAAAGGTAGACTCTATAACCATATACTTAACACTCTTTAACATATAACAATAAACAATCAACACTTAATACTAAACATCTAGTAAGTGCTGGCTGACTGGTTACTAGATGGGTAGGATGCATCCGAAGAAGTGGGCTGTAGTCCATGAAAGCTTATGCTCTAATAAATTTGTTAGTCTCTAAGGTGCCACAAGTACTCCTGTTCTTCTTTTTGCGGATACAGACTAACACGGCTGCTACTCTGAAACCTAGATGGGTAGGAGAAGATCTCACTCAGACCACAGACACTGATCTTTATTTACAAACGAAACCCATAAGCTCTCAGATAATAAATAAGGGAAGATTAGACTTACAAGGGCTTTCTCAAAATCCCTCTGAAACCATCTTTGGTCCTTCTGATCTGTCAAACTTAGAGAGTGTTGTCTGCTGCTGCTGATGGTGAGTCACTGGCTGCTGTTGTGACTGCTTCTGGCTACTCTGGAGGTAAATGCTGCCTGCTGGTGTCAGATATGGAAGCCTGCGTGGCTGCTGGGGTAGCTGCTGCTGCAGCCCCCTGCTGGCTGGGTTGCTGGAGCAGCCATTGTCCATGACAACCTTAGAATTCTGTGGTTGCTGCTGCTGCTGCTGCTCACGTAGCTCTTCTTCATGCAGCTTCTTCTTTGTAGAGTACTATTGCTGCTGCTGCTGCTGCTGCTGCTATTGCCTCATGCAGATGGTTTCTTCCTTGCAGATGTTTGCAGCTTCTTCTCTCTTCCAAGGTCCCTATCCAACTACAGGGTTTAGCCTATTGGTTGTCGCCTTTATATACTGTTTGGTCACTCAAGATCAGCCAATCAGCCTCCAGAGATTAGCATATGCTATTTTTGCCACGCCCAGTCATGTGTATCTACCTGTGACAGGAAGTCTCATGTATCTCTATGGGATTTTACTGAGTCATTCCCCACAGGAAGTGATGCAATACCATGCTTCTATTACATCATCCGGAAATGATGCAATACTGTCTCCTGATTGCATAAACCCTATACACTCCTATGGCCCTATGTATTCCTATGGGGTTTTTCAGATGACCTGTGGGTGACCCCTAACTACTTCCTGTTTAGCCTACTGGAAAATGGTATTGACCATTGCGTCATAGGAAATGTAATTTCCTCATAGGTAATGGACCCCTATGTTTCTTAGAATGGAATCTTCCACCGCATCATCCCTATAGCTGCCATTACTGGATTTTCTATATTTAAACCATTATTAACTTCCATCTAATAAAAGCTTAAATTTTAAAACTAATTACTCTTGTAAGCATTCCAAGGGGGAGTCTATTACCACTCTATAATTGTCCAACTAAGAGAATTATAATTTTTCCGATTTTAAACCCCCTCCCGAGGTTTTTCTGCAAACCTTCATTTAAGGTAATTCGAACAACTGAGGCAAAATCTCTCACTACACATCTTGTTGCAACGTTTCTTTTTTACCTTCAAGTAGTTTGACTGTTTGCCGTTACCTCTGATGGTTTTCTATTGAAAAACTTGGAATTGGGCATGGCTAAACAATTGAGCCTTACATTGCATCACTGGCTAAACAGGGCCGCATGACAGCTGCCCCCCCAACCCAAATGGGCCATTATCCCCCGGGCTAAATGGATATTATCCCTGGTGACCAATTTCTATTCCAAATCCATAAAGCTTACTTTCAATATAAATACATTAATCCTTAAATTTACTTGTATGTACAACTCACAAAGATTATGCATCTTGGCAAGTTATGAGCTTTCTGCAGATACCTTACATGTTATATGTTATTTATGGATAAATATCCTGTAAGACTTGTTTGGTGCAGGGAATTTGTCTGGTCTGAGGTGAGAGTGCTTTGCAAAGAACCGGGGACTCTTTGCCAAGAAGCGTCTGGGTCACAATAGGGTTATGAATGGGAAAGAGAAAAGAAAGTTGTAGCATAGCTGACAAGTTTTGTGTAGCTCCATGTGTGACATTGTCTGTCATTAAGAAATGGTCATTTATTACTCTTCATGGTGCCTCAGAGCAGTGGCGTGGGGGGTGGGCGAAGCTCAGCCTGCAGCGGCTTAGGGGGCTGAGGAAAGCAGAGGCTCTGGAGAACCTGGAAAAGGCAGTAGGGAGTAGCGTATTGGAGTGAGTTAGGGCAGATTGGTGGGGGGGAGGGGAAGTGGAGCTCAGGGCCTTTGTTTGGGGAGGGGCAGGAGAGCAAGCAGTTAAACAGAGAGTGAGTTGGTTGGAGGGGGAGGCAGAGAGTCTGGAGCATTGGGAGGATTGTTGGGGGAAGAGTGAGGCATGGAACAGGCATCCCATGTCTTTCCCTACTTCCCATTCCCCAATTTATCCACAGATCTCCAGCTCACCCCTCCTTGAGCCTCTACTTCCACATTGTC